ACTACTTTGCCAGATTTCAGAGTCGCCACCTAAATATTTATTGTGGGAAATTTAGGGAACCCGTGACTCGAGCCAAAGGCCATTAGTCCGTTGTTACCAAAGTGTCTTGGTTCGGGAACTTAGGTATGAGAGGGGAAGGTCAATAATGAGCACCCCACTCACCCGATCAAAGATCGGTCTCTACTAATTATGATGTGATTCTTATGTACAATATATGTTCTTATTCTGAGTAGTTAATAAATCCTAAAATGTATTATGCGAAGCGTACAAGTATAGACTAGTTTACTCAAAGTGGAACAATTCAATTTCATGTTTGTTTCTCGAAAAGGGTTTGAATTTGCCACTTCATGTGGGCTTAATTTGCCACATAACAAAGTGGGCTTAAAGTTTGTGAATTTGCCTCTACAAAGTGGGCTTAAAACGTACATTCGTTGAATCATTCCAATTCAAGCAACAAGCCTTCATCCACAGGCATTCAAGCAATTTATCAATTAAGCACTTAGCCTCATGGTAGGATACTAAACATAATAAGAAAATTATGTACAAGCGAGATGCTAAAGCATAACAATTCATATATTTACCGACATCCTGCGAATAGCTATAAAACAAAGTTAGAAAATATGCATGATTCCTAACTATACAATATGACAAATGCAACACATGTGATATGCAATTACTACGCTCGGCTACTAATATGGCATATGAAATGATTTGATCGCATGCGGTCTAAGCATGTATTCAAAGAACACTACAACAAAAAACATTTTTGGCGACGCATTTTAGCAACCAAACAAAAATTTAGTTGCCAAAGATATATCATTGGCGACAAAATAGTTGTGGTCACTAAAAACTAAACTTTTGGCGACGAATTTAAAATTTGGGTCACTACTAAGTTTGGCGCCAAGTGATTTATTTGTGCGGGAGCGCTAAAAACAATTTGGTGACCAAATTAATTTTTAGCGACGGAAATTTTAGTCGCCAACTATATGTATTTGGTGACAAGCATGACTTGGTCGCCGAAAATTTGAATAATATGTATGGCAACCAAATTTATTTGGTTGCCAATAAATTATTTACCTTTACCCTAATTTTTTATTGCCAAAAATAATTGACTGAGTGAATAAACAAACAACTGACCATCACTTTCCTTCTCACTTTCTCACCCCATCTGAAACGGCACACACAGGTCGATCCAGGTAATGTCTTCTTCTCTTCTTCTTCTTCTCTCTTCCTCCCCCTCTCCCTCTTGCTCTACTGCATCGCTGAATGTGAAAGGCACCGGAGCGCTGTTGACAGCAGCGCTGCACGGCGGCAGATCGCACCCTCTTTTTGGGTTGATCCCCTCTTCTCTTCTTTATCTCTGATATGTTGAGTGTAGTCCCCCTCCCTCTTGCTTTCTCGAGCCGTCGGATGCCAATGGCACAGCAGCGCTGGGCGGCAGATCAATGCCCTCTTCTTTGGGTCGATGCCCTCTTCTCTCCTCTAGGCCAAATGATATTCTGAATGTATGTTCTTAAACCAATTTTTAAAGTTACAGAGGTGAAATAAACTAATTTTTATTTTATTTTTAATATGTATTATATTTGTTGTGTGACCTAGATGAACTATATGTCTAGTAGTGACTCCAGATCAGTAGAGCTTCAGCTATAATTGCATGTGTGATTACCTTCATTTTGTTTTATGTTGTAAATAGTTGATCTGTTAATGTAGATTACCTCCTCCCTCTTAAGAAATCCAAATATGCGAGAGATAGTTAATGCACCATAATTAGATTTTGTCGAAATATGCGTCAAACCGAACTATATCTATTTGTTGATGTATGTCAACAGCTTGAGGTTCATGGTTAGTCATCTTAGTTATCTTAGAGAATGGAACACTTTGTGAAGAGATTTCAATTAAGCTTTTTTTTATGCTAATATCAACATTTTGTTTGAAGACAGTGGTATGGAAATACTTTAGTCACTTACTTTTAAAAAAAAATGCTAAGATCTTGTGCAATATGTAAAATTTTTATAAGCATTTTTTTTGAGTTATTAGAGAAAAACATGCAATGGATCTTTATTGACACTAGCAGTAGATCTTTGTAGTTATGGTTTCCTTTTCTTTTTGAATTTTTCCTCTTGACTTATATTGGCAGTAAAATGGTAGTTTATTGGTGCGTCATGGTTGGCTATTCATTGACCTGGCAATCTGTAAATCTATACAGTTTGAGTATGTGGTTGGTGTTGGTGTTGTTGTTGGTGTTGGGTTGTGATTTATAATGAACACTTTGAACAGGTGACCTCTTTTTGATGGCATTGGTTGTTTGTGGAGAATGCAGGTTATTTATGGTTTTTTCTTTAGGGATCTGTGTCTGTGATTTTAACACTCCATTAGGATTCTAGTGAAGTTAAGAGTATTTCCTGGTATTGTATTGGAAGGCATATCATGTTGGATGTCAACCATATTCAATGGGCAACATGACTTGTTTTCTGCCCTGGAGTGTACCTTCTCATTTTGCATAACTTGGGTGATTGGAAGGCCAGTTACTTGCCAAGAATAGGCTTTTTTTTTTCTTTTTTCTTTTTGGGATGTTGAGGATGTTTGGATCATTACATTGGGTTGTCCTTGTAACTTGAATATGCATCTACTTGTTGATTATATTTTCTGATTGGATCTTATTATTCTTTCTTTCTTAACACTCCTATTAACACAAAATGGGTATTTGGGGTTAATAATTATATTTTTTGAAATTGTTTATTTTGCACATATCCATGGCAAGGAAGTAGGACAAACAAGGTAGAAAATTTTAAAAAAAAAAAATTGAAGATAAGACATGAGTATCCTTATTTGTTATTTGACATTTATTTCATGCCCATAACTCTCCATTAATTTCATGTATAGTGCGATTTTAATTTAAACTTTGATTTACAATTGCCAATTGGTTATAGGTTATCGGTTAATACATAGAGATAAAAAAGCTGCACTTGTTCGTTGGAGGCAATTACTACATCAGGTAGTATTTGACTATTTGTTAAGGCTTTTTTAATTTATTTAGAGAATTTTGACACTTTTTTTTTAATTAAATTTGTAGCTATTAGAGGATTCACTTATTGTATTCTTTGTTTCTTTTTACTACTATGAACGTATCATAACACATACTTACATAAAAATATGGAATCCTAATGTTTTGAGCATTCATGATATGACAAACAATTAGATGATCCAAGGAACTATTTGATATATAAATAAGATAAGACCAAATATGCTAATTAGGAGGTGGTTGTTGTGTTTTGCTTAAAAATCTCAAGTCCATGTCTAACTCAAATAAATAAGTCAAATTACTAAAATCACATCTATTAAAGAAATTGAATGAATTTGATTAGTTTTGTTTTTTTTTTTTAAAAAAAAAAAAAATCCTAAATGTGATTCCCATTCAATTTTTTCCCATCTAATCCATTCAACTAATCAATACTTTTTCACAGTGGAGGATTTCTTTTTTCTATTTTTTAATTGTGAAACGAAATAGTTTCACTTTCACAGCAAAATATTGATATTTGGTTAGGTTATAGCAACACTTGTATCCAACCTTCCATTTTTTTTTTTTGTTTTTGTTTTTATGTTTTTTTAACAAAGCAACTACCTAAATAGTGATTGTTCATCAGAGGAATATTATTGTTAGCTTGCTCTGTTATCAGGATCTTCTTCAACAACTCATATTCCAAGTCCCATGGTTTTCTGCTTCTTCTATCTTGCGTCAATGCTATTTCTATAATAAACTAAAATGGAATTCTCTGAGGTAGATGGTTAGTGAGGTACGTCCTTAAGTGTGGGCTTCTAGTACGTTAGTGCATAAATTTTGGAGGTAGAATACATATACCATAGGCTTGCTTTGGAGAGTTAAAGGTAAAGAATTGCTGGCTACATATGTATGACATATGATTGAAAAAGTGATTGAAAGTTCTATTCAGACAAAAGAAGTTGCATAGGAATTTGTGGTCAAAAGCAGCCGAAAGAGACCAAATAGATACCAGCATGTGGTTCAGGTATTTTTACGAGACTTTATGTTGATCTTTGGATACTGTGTGCTTAATAATAATTAACATCTCATCATTTTCTCTTTTGTTATGTGTTATCATGCCTCCTAAATTTGCTTTAGATACATGTTGATCCTTTCACTTGTTCGCTGTAATGGGGCTTTATCCCTCAGGTTGTTTGGGATCTGGTTTTTGCCAAAGCTTAGTATGAAAGGCTATTTCTTTTGGTTGAGTTTCATAGTTTGCTTGTGATAGTTTTTCTGCGATTTTCATACATGTAATGTAACTGTTAAAAACTAATAGGACATGTTCTGATGTGTGGCCGATGCGTGTCAAGAGTGTCCAACGAGTACTTTACATGTTTCTTTGCTTAAAAGGATTGCTTCATGTTGTTGCAAAATGAAGTGAATTTTCACTCTAGCGGTAGCAAGGATATCATGTGCAGCACTTGTCATCATGTACCGAAAATAGTAATATGAACACAACAGAAACCGAGAAGCTTAAAATTTTATTAAGCTTTGAACAACGCCACAGTTAAAAACCATGCACTCTCAAATCTCTAATAATGAACAAGTCAGTTTTAGTCCATTGGTGTAGAATGGACTCTTGGTCACCAGACACAACCAAAGTTTCTAGTTTTTGAAATTTGAACCTTATGTTTTATATTGGTGGTTTTTTTTTTTTTTAACATCATTTACAAAAGAGATGATAACTATATTTGTGATACAAACCTTCTTGAAGAACAAAATCGGAACATTATGTTTTTTTTTTTTGTTTGGCTAGTGGAGCAATGGTGGTGTTTCTGACTTGCTGACAAGAATGAGTTTGCTTTTGACCTTAAAATTTTGTTACTTTTTGTTCAAGTTATACGCCTGAATTTAGAAGTGCTTGCATTTTCTTTCCAAATTTGTGGTCAATTTTAAAGGGAAGAAAAGGATTTTTAGAGATTGATGATATATATATATTAGCTACTTGAGCAATTTCCTAGTACAAAATCAATGACAATTGGAAAGCTGACAACAGAAAATACAAATTAAAACCATATTATACTGAGAAAATTTGCTAGGTTTGCAGCATTCGTTATATGATACATGCTGAATTTTAATGCCACAAACTTGAAATCTTCTTTTTTTCTTTTCGAATATTATAATCTCTGTTTGTTATTTGAGTGTGGCTGCTACTGGTTTGTATATTGGGTGTGGCCTATTTGTTGTGTGGCTACAACCTAGCAGAGCCTAGAAAACAGAGCCAGAAAAAAAAAAGTAGCAGCAAGCTGCAACCACCAAGATCAGCAACAGTGCACCAACAGCAACCCAGATACAGCCACACACTTGCAACAACATTGCAACAACAGAAGCCAGCAAGCAGCAGCCACCAGGGACAACGACATTGCTCCAGCAGCAACATAGCTTCAACTAGTAAACCAGCAAACACCAGCTGGCAGCTAGCAGCAGAAGCACATTGTGCTTTGTTCGTCTTTTTATTCTTTATTCTTTCTTCTTTCTTCTTTCTTCTTTCAAATTTAGATTCGGATTAAGCTAAAACCAAATTTAGCTTCGGATTATGCTAAAACCAGTCTGAATTCAATCTGTTGAGAGGCCTATGCTAAATAAATACCTTTGAGTAATGGATCATGAAGGTGATCACTGACAGATCCATTTTGAATGTACTCATAAACCAAGTAGAGGTGGTCATCTCCACTGGCATACCCCAACAACTCCACCTATAAATACATATAGGCTTGATTGGTAAAAAATGTTTGAATTTTGTTAAATCACATTAAATTTCATTTTGCAGATATGAAAATGTTACTTACCACATTAATGTGATGTATCTTGCACAAGACCTTGAGCTCTGCAAAGAACTCCTTGGACTTGTTAGATCTCATCTTCTTAATCTGCAAAGAACTCCTTGGATGATTTAATTCCATATAGGTATGGCTACTATCTCTCTATTGGCCGTGATGGCTATTGTAGGTTTAATGCTAGTGGGTTTGTATGGTGGGATGTGTGGGTTTAGAGAGGAACTAGAGAAAAGAAAATGAGAGTTTAGGAAAGAGACTAGTAAAGTTTAGGAAGGAACTAGAGTTTAGGAATGAGAGTTTGAAGAAACGCCCAATGCGATTCATGAGTTGACATTAGCAAGTAACTTGCTTGACTTCGCCTATAAGATAATTGTGTTCCCTTTTTTCATGCGTATTGCTATTGTTCATAAACCTATTCATCTGTTGATTCAAATGATTAATATCTTGCTTGAATGTGCTTTCTTGTGCAAGTCTAAGACACGGACAGAGAGACCCATTTATTGCTATCCATCTTTGCTGATTTTTGACTTTCATCTTGTTGCATTGTTAGCTTTGCCAATGAGCTACTAGTTGTTTTTGTTCTTTTCTATATCATGTGTATAGTAAATTGGGAATTGCCTGAAGCAACAAAATGGCCAAACTGGTGAGGTTGAATTTCCATGAATTTCCATTGTAGTAGTGGTTTTTTTTTTTGTTGTTGTTGGAGTGTCAGTTAACTTATGTTGCATTTGGTGGGTATGCGTGCCAAAACTTTGAATGAGTGCAAAGCATTCAAACACAATTCTGAAATCTCCTATTGGAGAGTGATTGTAGATGCATGTGATAGATTAAAACTAACTTTATGAATAGTTTGATTCAAGAAATATGCATCAATAGTTAATCATGCAAAATGCGTCAGCCAATACTTAGTGTGCTTCCCTCAGTAACTTTATATAGGCTGAAGTGTGCTGCATGCACTGTGGTAGAGCACGAGTATTGATCTTTAGGTTGAAAAAAAGAACTAGGAATATGTACAAATTTATAGAGATATTGCTTGTAAGTAGTTCATATATGCCAAGTTTAACTATAGTGAATCATGTGTTACTTTTTGATTTTGGTATATTGAAATTTTGTAATTCACCATAGGAAAATTTGCTCTCAATTTGTTCATCTAGAATGTGAAACCAATGTTTTTAGATCAAGACCTTTATTATTAACATTTTAACATTATAATTTTTTTTTTCATATGTTTGATAGATTGGCAATGGATGGAGTATAATTTAGGGAGCATCAAAGGATTACATTTTGAATTTTTGGATATATTTTGTCATAGGTTTTTGTTATGAATTTGCAAGCTTGGAAAGTTTTTTGGAATTACATGTTTGAAGTTTTTTTCATATGTTTGACAGATTGGCAATGGATGAAATATAGTTCGGGAAGCATCAAAGGATTACATTTTGAATTTTTGAATATATTTTGTCATAGGCTTTTGTTATGAATTCGCAAGCTTAGAAGGTTTTGGGGCATTGCATGTTTCAAGTTTGGGATTGTAAGAGATTTGTACTTAAATTGGATGTTTTGGATTTGATATGTTGTTTATATTTAACATGGTACTACTTTTGAATTAAGTTTATATTTTGGATGCTTTGCACAAGTGTGTTAATTTGAATTATATTTTGCTTATGTTTATAGGTTTATGAATTATGTATTGAACAGGGAAATTGTTAAAAAAAATTATAAATAATGAATTTTTGGTGACAGGTTTTTTTAGTTGTAAATTTATTTTTGGTGACATTTTATTTATGTTGCTGAAAGTATGTGTCCATAATTTTTTTAGCGACGCAAAACTTGATTGGTCACCAAAAGTTTTAACATTCAACAACCAATTCCTTTAGTCACTGAAAGTTATTTTTAGCAACGCATTTATATGTCGCTGAAACTTAACATGTTATCAGCTGAAGGCTACTTTTAGTGACTAAATGTTAATTTATGGCGACGAAATTTTAGTCTTTTGGTGACGGAAACATTTGGTCTCCAATTTATTTGTAAAGGCAACCAAAATTGATTTGGTCGCCAAAGCATTTAGTGACAGGGCTTCAGCGACCAATTTTGTTCATGTCGCGGATACTTTCAGCAACCAAAATTACAATTTTGATGACTAAAAAATAGGTCGCTAAAAGTGTTTTTTGTTGTAGTGGAAGTATTTAAACAACAATGCGAATTCGAATGATGAACCGAGCTCCAGTGCATGCAATACAAGTGGATGCAAACATGAAGCATGCTAAATTAAACATGATGTCCCTAATCTAACCATCATAAGCTGGTAAATAAAAAGGAAAAAGACGTGAGGTTGGCAGACATACACATTATTACAAGTTTGTTTGCCCTCGCGTAGGAGGGTCCGAATGAACTAATGCGCCCTCACACAGGAGGGTCCGAATGAACTAGCTAGCTAACGAATTACTTAACTAATTATTACAAAAACAAATCAAGTAACTATGCTAGCTACAACATCATACTTAATTAACTATTTTAGCTAATTATTACAAATTGAAACTACCTACTTAATTACACTAATTAATTAATTCTAAAATTCCAATTAAACCAACTAATTACTTAATTAATTTATAAAATCAAAATGAAATTAATTAATCAAATGACTTAACTAATTAACTACATTAATTAATTAATTCTAAAGTTCTAATTAATTAACGGATTTATAAAACGCTAATGAATTAACTAATTAACTACACGAATTAATTGATTCTAAAATTCTACGAAATTAATTACTTAACTACATCAATTAATTTATTAAATTCTATTAAACTATACTATACTAATTAATTAAATTCTAATTTGCAGAAACTTCATACGCCCAAAACTCAACGAGCCGACCCACCCCATGGACCAAATATATGATACGTCGTGAAGGCCCTTGCATACTTCGCGCATAATTTCCTCTGGCTCTGGAGTTCCTGAGATATCAATCATTTTCTCTGCTGAGTTCCTCCTTCTCCCTCTTATCTCCCTCCACTGTCAACTGCCGAGAGAGCGAGAGAGAGACCGATGGCAGCCTGGGTCACAGCGTCTGTAGGAGGTGGAGCTGGGATAGGATGGTGGTTGCGATCGGAGTTGCAGCAGCGGGAATTCTCTAAGTATTGTACAAACAGAGCTTTCCTTCCAGAAGAAGAAAGCTGGGTTGGTCTCTTTTTTAGATTGAGAGAATTGAGAGGTGGAGAGAAAGCTGTCGTGGTGTCGAGAGAGAGATCCAGCAGCTTTGAACATTTTTCATGGCCCTTGCTCGAGAGCTCCGAGAGTGAGGGAGAGAGAAGTTCTGTTGTGTGTGTCTGTGTATTGTATGTCTTCGTATTGTGTGTCTTCCTCTTTCTTATGCTCAACTTTTCCGCCCTCCTATGTGTGCTGTGTGTGGGTGTCTGTCATGCATGTGTCAATGGTGTGGGTGTGTGTGTTTTTATTCTTTAAAACCATGTTGTGTGTCCCCTGGAGAGAGAAGAGGATGATGGTCTGTTTTTTGGGGTTTTTCAATGGAGGTTCCGAGTGAGAGAGAGATGCCGAGAGAGAGAGAGAGAGAGAGAGATCTGTCTTCTTTTTTTTGGTTGCTATTCTAACCGAGAGTCAGAGAGAGAGCGTTGTGTCGTACATGGAGAGAGATGTGTACCGTGTGGGGGGGGAAGCAGCTCTGTGTGCGTGTGTGCTGTATCTTGTGTGTCTTCCTCTCCCTAACCCAGACTGCCGAGAGACAGAGAGACAGAGAGATTCTGTAAACAAATGAAGGGAGAGCCAGTTCCGAGAAGGAGGCTGACCCCCCTCCTGTGCCTTTCTGTGTGTATTGTTGGACAATCTTCAATATATTTAAAAAGATTAATTCTATTGTGTACACAACAATAATTAGAATTTAAAGAAATAAAGAAAAAGGAGAGAATTTGTTTGATTACAAAAATCAAACTCGAAATAAAAATAAATAAATAAAACCACAGATTTTATTTTGTTACAAAAACAAAAAATAAAATCTGATTAAATAAACAAATAAAAACAGAATAAAATTAAACAACTTACTTGGTTAATTTATTTGAATAACTTTTATGATCAAGTCCAGTGTTTAACACTGTGTCCTTAAGACAGATTCGTCCTCTCCACGGTACTTTCAGAATTTGGAAGTCTATCTCCCAGGATGAAATGATCTTACCACAAACAATAGCAGCACTACAAATTGTTTGCCTTACGAACACACTAAGTGTTTACACTCTTCTTTCGGAAATAAAATGCAGCAAGATGGAGAATATAATTTGCAGATGATGGAGTACGAAAAATTTGAGTAAAATCCAAATGGGAGGCTAGTCTATTTATAGATGTAAAGGTGGCTTTTGGTTTTGAATTGAACATGTATGAAACCTGTTAGATTCAAATTTAAACAGATTTGAATCTGTTTATTCAAACAGATAGAAACGGGAAGGGCTCTGTTTGGATGAGCAATAAATCCAAAACAGTTTAATTCTGTTTGAAAACGGGAAGGGCCCTGTTTGGATGAACAATAATTCCAAACCAGTTTAATTTGAATTCTGGATTTTATTTTAATAAAAAATAAAATTAAATTCAAATGTTTTTGGCCCAAAAAGATTAGAAGCCCAACCCCAAGCCCAGGCCAGCCCGGACGGACGGCGGGGGCGGCGCGCGCGCGTGTGTGTGGTGATTTTTGGGTCCAATGGAGCCCATTTTGCCCATAACCTCTCCCTCTAAAACACTTGGGTACCCCTTGGGGCACACCCCAAGTATCTCACCCTAAGCCTTATAAACCCTTTCAAAACTTCCCACCAAATCAATGTGTGACAAGCCAATTTACAACTTTAAGGAATTTCCACCATAACTCCATTTCCATGGAGCACACTTTGGCTTCAATTTCCCATTCACTTGGTAATGGTTTTGAGCAACCAAATATACCACATGAATCACAACGCGGCATAGAACGCGTTACCACTTTGACCCGAGTAAATCGATGCTCGGGGCCCACCTAAAAAATAGACCAAACTTGAGAAAAAATTCTGGTTTTACCCAGAATTTTTCCACCATTTCCAACATGTATATCAGTGTGTTGTGTGCTTGGTGTGTGTGTGCGCGCTGTGTGTGGATGGTGTGTGTGTGTGTGTATGGAGAACCAGCCTGAGAGAGAAGAACTCCCTACATGTGGGTGTGTGTGTTTGTGGCCCTGTTTGGTAGAGCTGTGAGAAAGTGATTATAGATTATAACTTAACAGATTATAACTTATAGCTGTGAGTATAAGCTGCTAACCTGTTTAGTGTAGCTGTGAGATTATAGATTTAAGCAGCAGAGTAGTGTTTGGTAAATAAGTTGTAAAATAGCTTTTTGCTGTGTAATTGTCAATTTTGCCCTTATGAACAGGAAATTTGTAATTTTTGTAATTTTCTTCTGTTTAAATATTGAAAAAGTTATTTCATTAATAGAAATTGATTAATTAGTACCTAATTTGGTACATTTCATTTACCTCAAAATTTTTTTTTTTTTTTGTATTTAATTTTTTTGTAATAAATATTGAGTTGACAAGAAAACAAAAAATTTAATTGCAATAAAAATATAATAAATTACTATTAAGGCAAGAAAAAGGGCTCTTCATAGATATTTATAGAGCTCCTAATTTCGTCTGCAAATTGACATACAAATATTATGTCTCCTCACCTCCATTTCGTTGTCATCACATACAACATCATTTTCATGGCGTGCTTGTTGAGACGAAGATCCTTCCTCTTCATTAGGCACATAATCCGTGTATTTATCATAAGAGTCAAATGCAATATCGCGGAGCTTACTTCGTCGGATGAAATTATGAATTGCCATTGTTGCACAAACAAGTTTGACTTGGGTCGGCCACTTGTAGTTTGGTGGGATATCATTTATCATCAGCCATCTTGCTTTCCAAACCCTGAACATTTTTTCTATTATACTTCTAAGTGAGGAATGTGCATTTTTCTTGTGCATTTTGGGGGCGTTGACCATGTTCAAATTGAGCTAGATGGTATCTCTCTCCTTTGTAAGGTGCAAGATATCCTTTCATGTTTGGATAACCAGCATCCACCAAGTAAAACTCATCTATTTTAAAATTTCAAAATGAAATTTAAGTAAGCAATTATAAATGTAAAAATAAATATGAAGATGTGAGTGTGGTGCATCTATTGTAGCAATCAAATATAAAATAGTTACCTCCTTGTGGTTTTGGAAAATTAAAACTAGGATTCCTAATTGCATCTAAGAAGATCCGAGTATCGTGTGCACTTCCTTCCCATCCTGGTAAGCAAAATGTGAAACACATATCAAAGTCACATGCGGCCATTATGTTTTGAGTCGCATATCCCTTTCTACCTATTAGACGAGCTTGCTTATCTGGAGATATATATGCTTTGATGTGTGTCCCGTCAATTGCTCCAATACAATCCTATTACATGATAATGAATAAAAAACATTTTAGCCACATATTAGTAGAAATATCCTACCAACATTAATTATATGTAACACCCAAGTTGTGTTTGTAGTTAATTATTTACCTTGAAATGAGAATAATATTTGCGGTTACGTCGAACATATGGATGCACACCATTAGCCGGTTGAGGTCTTACCCAATCAATGGACATCTTTGTAACAGCCTTTAACACCTTAAAATATTTTGAAATAATCTCGCCGGAATGTTGAAATCTTTCTTGGACATTTCTGTTTCGAATGTCACCGCCAACAATAAACAAAAATATTGCAACTTGCTCTTGAACCGAGACTTGTCGACTAGTTTGAAGGCCATAATTTGTCTGTAACAAATTACACAATTGATAAAATACCTCTCTTTCTATTCGAAAATTTTCAAATATTCTTGTCCGATTCCCTTCTTGTAATTCTACTATCCATATCCCTCCTGTTAAACAAGATGTCCTACTTGATTCTTTTATCAAATAATTTGTTGCATATGTCGCTGCAACTGTAGCCGCCGTAGCTAAGAGCATATTATTATTTTGCTGGGTTTGTGATATGCTGCCTTCATCATCAGTATCTTCATCATCATGGTCATCATTCCATTGGTCTTCATCACTGTTACTCATCTTTAAAATACCTACTCATTTAAAAGGTTCAGTTACCATTCAATTCAAACAAAAATAGGGTGAGATAAAGAGTTAATATAAATAAAAGTTACTAAGGCATGAAAGTAAAGTTATTTCATAGTGTTTCTATTAAGAACAACCTTGTTTCTATTTTAAGTCGTTGGTGGATCCACTGAATATTCCTTGACGCCTAATAATAAGAAAATGATAAACTGAAGTCATTCTTGTTATCCATATGCAGAGTGTTAAAACACTGCTCAGAAATTAGGCAACCTGCCAAGTGTGCGGGATAAACCATGTTGCAATTTAAAACTTAAAACAAAAAGCAAGAAATGATAATAAAATATCATAAGTTACTTGTCCAGATATATTAAAACTAGGAAGATCAAGAATCCTGAAGTTGTTACTTGTCCAGAATATATTCATTTCATAGCTAAATATCTGGCAACCTGTCATCCATTTATGAATGCAATTAAGAATTCAATTAATTGCATTGTTAAGAAATAAGCAATCAATTAATCAATTAATTGCATTGTTAATTGCATTGTTAATAAATCAATTAAGAAATAAGCACTGTTATGACTATGGACAAGAATGCAATTCTTGACTTTGGACATGACTGTGGGCATCAATCAATTAAGAAATCAATTAAGTCCGTGGACATGAATGCAATTCAAGAAAGCAACACTGTTATGACATTTTAAGAAGCAGTATTCCATGGGAAAGAAGCACTGTTATGACTGTTATGACTACGGGACTAAGAAGTAGTATTCCATCACAAAAATTCTGAACTTAAAACTTGTTGAATACATACTAAGAACCAGTATTCCATCACAAAAATTCCATAGCTAAATATCAGGCAACCTGTCATCCATTTATCCCAATTAAAGAAAACCATAATTCATATAAAGAAATCATGGCCATACAAAAATGAAATAGGTGAAACATTAAAATGTAAAGCAAGAAAATTATACCTTCAACTTCAACAAAATTATACCTGGAGAGATTCAAATGTAAAGGAAAAACAATGTAAAGCACAAAAATGAATTGAGTAAACCATTCACCTACGTATACATATATATAACCTTCACCATTCACCTACCAGTCATATTCAACTAACATTCAACAAGTCAACCATTCACCAACCATTCAACAATTTAGTCCAACGTAATTTAATAAAATTTGAAATAATAAGTCCACAATTAAAAGTCCAACATATAGTCAATATTAATAAAAGGAAATGTTAGGAAAATATTGCAACAGTCCACAATTACTAAAATAAAAAGTCCAACAGAACAGTCCACAATTAATAATAAAAGTCTTAAGAACAACCGGCCAGTCCACAATTAGCCGCGATAACCTGTGGTGGTCTTCTCCATCTCAATCTCTAACTTTAGAAACCTAAGGCGAACTTCATCCGTAGGAAGACTCATGAAACACTCCCGACGCTTGTCTCGTAAGAACAATTGGGCAGTCCATACATACAGCTCATCATCCGGGGACACATCAGGGATGTTTTCCAACATCGCCAAACAATCTGCAATTGAAGGATATCTTGATGAGGTCTATGTTGAAGTTGCTGAAGATGACTCAACCACATTGACTATGCGAGCAAGTGTCTTGTTAAGTAGAGCTGCACCAGTAAATTTCTTCTTCTTGCTCTTGGTTGATGAACCAGGTGTGTTTGATGAACGCTTTTTGTTTAACTCAGAGGGATGAACCACCTCCAAATCATCATCATCATATTTAGCATCATGTGGGGTATGAAATTCCTCCACATTGTCATCAATGTCAGGCATAACCCCTGAACTAGGAGTGTATGCCCATTCTCCTGTAGCAGCTGCATCTGAGAATAGTATGTCTAAGTCTTCACTAAATTGCAACGGCATACGCCGGAATTTAGCAGCATCAGGATACCTCTGCAACAATTACAAAGAAAAAATTTAACATTTACAATTATCAAAATTTGGTGTGTTTAAACAACAAAAACAAACAGAATATGTACATTAAGCAATTTAAATACCTCCAATTTGTTGGTCCACCACTCATCAGATGCAGATATAGCTCCAGTCAATGTGTCACGGCCTAAGCCTGTCTCACCCTTTAATAGATTGTTCCACAAAAGCCAATCTTTTTTCAACACATCCCAATGGTTTTTCATTTGTATTCGTTGGTATGCTTTTCCAGTCATAGTTTTAAACGAAGTTATGACATTTTCCCACCCGACCCTATCTAAGTGTGTACCGGGTCTGTGTCCGACCTTCACTTGGTCAACACAAAGCTTAATAAAGATTTCATTTGATTTTGCATCCCAATGAGCCTTAGTAGATGGTACTTGAGAGGATTTTCCCTTATTCTTCCTATTTTCAAATTGTGTTTTCTGTTGGGTACTCATTCTATGAAAGAAAAAAAAAAATTTGTTTAACACATACTCATTAATCATTGGTTGCATTAAAACATAAGACTAGTACAAAATAACCATACATGGCATGATTAGTATAAAACATAAGATTACTACAATAGACGTCTCATCATTGGGTACACAACTTAGCAAAAAAACACATATCTAAAAGCCACCTACAATCATTTGAAGAGTAATGCAACTGACAGAACAATACAAATTGTGAGCAAACCCACAACAAGCTGCTTCATAAATGTTACGGATTGCTCAAGCATTTGGTTCTTTACTTTTAGTCCTACAGTCTCAATGTTTTGAGCTTGATAAAGATTTGTCTCGTTCCTTAGCCTCTCTACCATCGTCACAGATTTTGGGGTACACTACCTCCAAAATTGACAATTTCTCTTCTCACAATTTACATACAGTCTTCCTTTTGATGGCTTCTTGGATTCGGTTACCCTTATGGCAGCTCTTACACCACACTCACATTTCAAAGCCTCGTACCTCAAATCCAAGGTGTCAGCACTAGAAGCATAGTTACTAGAGGATGACATGCCTCTGCAGTAATTAGGAAGAATTGAATCCACATCCTCTAAAATTGATTGGGAACTTAAAGATGTTATACATGACTAACACTATTGTCCATGACCAACTACGTAAACAGAAAGAGTTTACATAAAACAATTATTGTCCATGACATGCCTCTGTAGTAAAATGTTAATGGTTCAGCAAACTGTTAATGGTTAATGTTAATGGTTAATGGTTCAGCAAATTCATTCCTCTTTCTACATCAGGGAAATTATAATATTCATTCCTAAAGCGTAAGGAGGAGGTCTATGGTTAAGGGAAAAATAAGCAACTATGAACAACAATCTGAACTGAAGAAATGTAAAGGGAATCCCACATTTGTGGACAACTTATTTTAAATAAATTAAATTAAAAGGACTTCTTGGGGGCATGAAAGAATAACAAGTGAGAAGTATTACAAAGGAACTTTCACCTGGTCAGCAGCGAACTATATTTACAAACTACAGATAAAGCCAAAATAAGAGAATGGTAAACAATGACATATGGGAATTTTCTAAAACTTCTGATGTAGAGCTAAAAAATGAAAATAAAAATGTCCATGATGACAGATAAGGGAATACATCATTGAATACATCATTAACAGATAAGGGAATACATTATTATTAATAAAAACTTCTGATATGGGAATTTTCTAAAACTTGAGGTTTGAAGACATTTTGAAAACTTGACTTAATTGACTTATAGTAAAAATTTTCAAAATCATGTTAAAAAAAAAGTCATCTTTTAAAAAAATGTTTCAAAAAAGAACTTGAGAAATAAATTCAAAA